GCAGCACTAACACAGGTCTTTAAGAGAGACCTTGGGCATAAGAGGCACTCACAGGTCCTTGAGAGAGGCCGTGGGCAGGATAGGAGCCACAAAGGAGTCGAGACGCTGGAAGAAGAGGTTGGATGACAGGTAGCTGTGGATGACAGGGGAACACATGGGGGGAACACATGGGGAGGGGGCTCATGGGGTGATACACAGGTGTAGCAAAAACCATGGGGGCATAATGGAAGAATAATGCCAGGAGGTTGGGAGAGGGGCTGAGAAGTGCAGACAGAGATGTGAGAAATGCTGTGCAGCCGTGGCAGTTAGACACTTGGGCAGTGAGGCTGTGACGGAAAATGGGGATGGGTGCAGTTGCGACGAGCATGTCACCTCCTGGCAAACTGAAAACTGGTTTCTTGTCCGATCTTGCCTTATACAACGAGCATCTATGCTTCACAAAAATCCTGTCCTGTCACTTGTGCCACACTGCACTGGACTTTACTTGATAAATATGCTGAAATCACTGACTCATACCCCGATATCCCAAGGCCTTACAGCGCTGTGAGTGTGGTGAGCTTGGAGATGTCGGCGTGCACGGTGCCTCGCAGCAGGTTATTACGAAGATCCCTGCCCACCATGCATAGGGGGGCGTGGGGACAGAAGGGGCAGCAATGGCAGAGGGAGAAACGGGGGCAGAAGGAGCGGCACAGGAAGTTGAGACATCCAACTTGGGAATGGTTGGAATGAGGACAGCGACGGGAAACACGTCAACACGTCGCACACAAACGCAACGCGAGCTTACAACTATGGAAAGCAGCACAATGCTAGGGGCTATAGTGGAGGGTGGAGCGGCAGCAGCACTCACAGGCCAACAACCACGCCGGTAGAAGAGCAGAACACGCCCGGCCAGGAGCCAGGCACGGGCGTCTGGCCTTGAATCGTGCACATGCCCGCCTGCCCTGGAGCCACCAGCAGAAGCCTCTCCCTGCCCGGCCCGTTCTCTTCCAAGCGCCGCCGCCCAAGCGGCTTTTGCCTGGAAAGGGGATTTGCCTTGGAGGGCGTTCCAAGGGTGCTGGCAGACCACTGAGTGAGGGTGATGCCGAGAGCTGTCTTCAGAGAGAGAAGAATATTGGCCTGCGTTGCATTCAAAGGCACACCCATGCAGAAGCGTGGGAGAATGGGAGATGTGGCAGTGGGGGTGGTGAAGGTGGCAAGAGGGCCTGCAGCGTTGGGAGCACAGGTGCCACCGGCACAGATGGAATCGGAGAAGAAGCCAATGGGAGAGTTGCAGACGGCGCAAGAAGCCAATGGGCGCTGCGTGGTGCCTGTGGTGTTGCATGCGCCTGTGCTGGCGAGGCAGTTCGAGGAGGCAGAGCAGGAGAGGAAGCCAGTGCCGGGGAATGTGCCGGACAGCCAGTTCTTCTGCACGTCCATGGTCTTCAGAGCCGTGCCCAGCTTGGGCACCGGGCCGTACAGGTAGTTGTAGCTCGCACCGCTGAAGAGGAGGGGTGATTGATAGGGGTGATGGTAAAAGAAAAAAGTGTGTGAGTGGTGTGTGTGTGAGAGTGCCTGAGAGTGCGTGAAAGCGATTGAGTGTAAGAGTGAAAGGTAGGGCAGCATGCGTGAGGTAAAATCAGTGGACGTAGTTACACAGGAGCAAAGGCAATACGGCATTAGGAGCAAAGGCATGTGGCATGTGGCGAATTTCCGAGAACCAGAATACAAGAGGGTCTCACAATGATGTGAGGGAGGTGATGCCCACAAGGGCAGAGGGGATGGACGCAGAGAACCAGTTGAAGTCGAAGTAGCTGCCATGGGCGAGGCGATAGGGTTGGGAGGGAGTAGGTGGGCAATACATGGAGGAGGGTAATATGTGCAGGCGGAAATGGAATGATAGGCAAGTGAATTTGGGGAAGATTGACGCGATGGGAGAAGAGGAGAGGAGAAGAGGAGCGGAGAAGAGGTAGGAAGAAGAGGAGGGGAGGAGTGAAGAGTGGCTTGTGGCTCACGGGGCAGCCTGCTTCTAACTTGTGGCCCAGGCACCCCATGTAGGACGCCCATGCCCCCCACGCACCCATACCTCCCACGCACCCATGCCTCCCACGCACCCATACCTCCCACGCACCCATGCCTCCCACGCACCCATACCTCCCACGCATCCATACCTCCCACGCACCCATACCTCCCACACACCCATACCTCCCACGCACCCATGCCTCCCACGCACCCATACCTCCCACGCACTCATGCCTCCCACGCACCCATACCTCCCATGCACCCATACCTCCCACGCCACTCACGCTTGCTTGAGGGATTTGAGCGCGCTGAAATAGGTTGTGAACACATCCAGACGCCCCTTTAATAGGTTGCTGCGGAGATCACTGTATAGGATACAGAGGGGATACGCGTAAGGGGAGTAGAACTCAGAGGTGGAAGTGTAACAATAGCAGAATATAAGACAACATAGTAGGGACATAAAGGGGAGAGGGAAATGAAAAAAGTCAGAAACATGGTAGTGGTGGTTATAAATGATGCGAAATCACAGATGAAGAGCGGGAGGCTTGAGTGTGATTATTTGCAGGGTGATGAGGATTATGAGGTTGGAAGAACATACCTTTGGGGCGCTTGAAAATGAAACTTACATAGAGGTGAGGGCGGTGAGCTTGGAAATATCTGAGTGCATCCTCCCCGTCAGCTTCAGGCCAGACAGCTTGCTGCTCATCCAATGACAGCAAGAAACAGAAAAATCAAACACAAACGGCAGTCATGTTTGAAAACCAGGTGAAATGGTGCTGAGGAGAACAGAAATGGCGCTGACTGGAACTCAATAAATTTCGACATTCCAACGTTTCAAAACCCTCAGGTGACCTCCGGGACATTCAGGCTCAAGCCTTAGAGGCAGCAGCATGGCTATATGGGGCGCCAAGTAAAAGACCAGACTGGTCCAGGCCGACTGAAAGCCTCTTCTCCATTAATGGTGACAGCGAGGATGGCCGAATGCAGCGAGGAGCAACCAACTTACAGCGAGACGGGTTTGAAGGTGGAGTCGCAGAGGACGTTGGACCACGCGCTTGGCGGTGCTGCCACTCCCTCCACGGCACACGGCGAGCTCACCGCCCAGTCTGTGAAGGACACTCCCAGCGATGCCTTCACACTCAGTAGCGCCGCAGCTAGAGGGGACAGGGAAGGGAGGAATGCAGGACAGGGAAGAGATGAGAATGGGGGGTGTGGTTGATTTTAGAAACAAGGTGGCATGTGATTCGATGTGATGTGGTAGGTTGAGATGGAGTATCATCTTATGCGACCGAGATCACCCAGGAACGTGTGCAAGCCTGCTCTACTCCATCGTACACCCACTCTCTCACATGTCCCCTTCCAAACTCAACCTCCTCATTGCTCACGGCACTCACCCATGGCAGCATCCATGGGAGCACCCGCGCAGTACATCTCAGCCGTCCCCGTATTCACAGTCTTTGCTGCGATCAGAGCCGTCGAACCGGGAGCACACGTGCCGCCATTACAGAGCACCCCGGTGCCGTTGGTGCTGCTGCAGATGGCACATGCGTCTGCTGCTCGCTGTGTGCTGCCGCTGGTGCACTTGGTGCTGTCCTTGAAGCAGTTGCTGGCGCAGCTGCAGTAGGTGGTGGTGGTGGTGGGGAACGTTCCCACCAGGTAGTTCCCCGATGCATCCAGGTACTTGAGGGACGCCGGCAGCGCTGTCGGCATGCTGCCCGTCAGGTAGTTGGCCTGGATCTTGCTGTATAGGGGAATGAAATGGGGAAAGGAAGTCCACATGGTGATGATGTGAGCATATGACGATAAGAAGAAGTAAAGGAGGGAGGAATACAAAGAAGTGAGAGATAGGAGGGAGAGGATATGTGGAAATATAAGAGACTGGAAAGAAGCGAGTTTCGATATGCACGGAACACGGCAAAAGGAGAGGGGAGAGAGCTGACAGTTCAGAGGGGGCGGAGAAAGCAGTGAGTGATGGTGGCACGGCGCCCGACAGGTAGTTGCTGTGCAGGTGGCTGGAGGGGGGATGAGGGCAGCAATAGGGAGAGAGGGTGCTGAATCACATGCTATGCAGTATATGAGATTTTGTGCACTGTAGGGGCTGCTGTGCTTTGCATGAGCCATCTTGCATGCTTGTTATGGGGTGGCATGGGGAAGAGGTCGAAACCAGGCTAGACAGGCAAGGCAAGCAAGACCAACCAGGAGGAGAAATTGAGCCACCATATTATTGTTGATGATGCAGTATGGTTGGGGGGGTGCCAGCAAGTGCAACTCACAGGACTTTGAGGGTCTTGACGGGAAGAAGAGGGGTGAGGAAGGAATCCAGGCGGCCTGAGAAGAGGTTGTTGTTCAGCTCGCTGCAGCATGGCACAGCCCACACACGTGCACCTCAGAGCGTGTGAGCATGAAACCATGTTGTATGAGCACGTGACGACGCAAAATGTGAGTATAGCATGTGACAACGAGAGCATGTGAGCATGTGAGCAGTTGAGCCCTAAAGAATGCAAGGTGAGACTTATGTGCCCACTGTAAATGAACGGTGAATAGTTGCAACGTGCAGTGAGGTAGTTAAAGATGGTGCAGCTTACAGTCTGGTGAGAGAGGTAAGTATTGAGACCGAGGAGTTGACAGTCCCTGGCAGCAGCAGATTGCCCAGCGTTCTGCGTGCATGTGGCATAAGGTGGTGCATCATAGAGGAAGTAAGAGCAAGGGTTTGTGATGGCGGTGACAATATGGTGAGAATGTGACATGATGCCACCCCATGCCATATGTTGCCATGCCTGCATGACTGTACGGAAACGATTAATGCCCAAATCCTAAACCCTTGCCATACGATGCCATGCCATCGACCCACGTATAAAACATAACTAACAAATAGAAATCAATCAACGCTTCATCGTTGCAATACACTGATATGAGTCATCAGGTGCACGATAGCCCTTGCCCATCACAGCCAAACAAAACACAAAACGACAAAGAGGAGACACGAGGCAGCCCCACTGCACTCACAGGGTGAGAACCTTGCCGGTGGCGTCACACACAATGCTCGACCACGAGCCCGGCACCATAGCCTGCCCTGCCAGTCCACACGGCGCATCCACATTCCAATCCGTGAACGTGACACCCAGCGATGCCTTCACACTCAGCAGCGCCAACCCCATGGCAGCATCCATGGGCACTCCCAGGCAGGTCAGTGGCAGTAGCGGCTGGGCGTCCGTGTTGGGGGTGGAGGAGGCAGCAGGGGCGGAGGCAACAGGGGCGCACAGCCCGCCCCCACACAGAACGCCAGAAGCATCGGTGGACCCACACACGCTGCACTCTAAGGATAACCGCTGTGCCATGCCGGCAGCGTTGGCGCAATTGGTGGCGCTGGAGAGGCAGTTGGAGCGGGCATCGCAGGCGGTGAGGGAGATGGCGGGGAAGGCACCCGAGAGCAGGTTGCTGGCCACGTTGAGGGCCTTGAGTGACGCCTTGAACGCCGGCACTGTGCCCGTCAGATAGTTGCGGTTCAGCTTGCTGTGGGCGGCAGTGGGGGGAGGCATGGATAACGGGAAGAAAGAGGGGGGAGGAGAAGAAAGAGGGTGGAAGGATCATCAGGAAAGAGAAGAACGAGGGTGGAAGGATCATGAGGAAAGAGAAGGTTGAGGGACAGAAGGGGGGCATGCAGCAAATAGTTGCGGTTTAGTTTGTTGCCACAACAGATGGTGGCAGGGCAGGGTGGTGAAGGATGGAGTGTAGATGAAAGAAAAAAATATAAAAGTATGTTGTAATACTAAATGTCAAGTGAGACGAATGTGGGAGAGTAAGTGAGCGAGAGCATTGAGTTGGAGATTACAAGCTGGTAACGTGCGGTGTTTTTTTTTAGAGATAGACAACTACGGTAGGGTTTAACTGGGTTTGGGGTAGGAAACTCAAGATTGTTCCAATGATCTGGCCTTCAAGATTGGCTTGAGAGGTTATTGGAGGCCCGAAAAATCTGGCTCATCTTTTTTTAACATTGTTTGGACCCCCAAATATTTCTCCAACGATCCCCGTCTCCTTGCTCCCATCGTTAAGATCCTATTTTCAAGTCCAAGTGACTGTTCTCCATAGTTTTACACTTTTTGTTTTCTTACCTTAGAGTTGGACTATTAGGGTGGACTTTACTTGGGTGAAGCGGGGATCACTCACAGGGTGGAGAGTACAGTCAGGCCGATGAGAGAGGAGGGGATGGAGCCAGAGAACGGTTGTACTGCAGGTGGCTGTGGGGGAGAGTGGATAATGAGAGGGTCATTTGACGAGAGGAGAAGAGGATTTGTGAGAGGAGTGTTACTGCAGCATAGAGCAGCAGTGACTCAATCAATGCACACGGAACATCACAGCATACGGTGTCAGTATGCACAGAACTGCATGGAGCGCAGAGAGTGTGTGTGTATGTGTGTGTGTGTGTATGTGTGTGTGTGTATGTGTGTGTGTATGTGTGTGTGTGTGTGTGTGTGTGTGTATGTGTGTGTGTGTGTGTGTGTGCGTGCGTGCGTGCGTGTGTGTGCGCGCGCACACAGGCGTGTGAGAGTGGTTGTGGTTGACACTTGAGATTGTAATGCATTCGGCAGATAAGGGCGAGCAGTGGACTGGACTGTGGTGAAGCGTACATATTCTTGAGTGTCTTGAGGGCAGAGACGAGCGAGAGAAAGACATCCAGGCGGCGCTCGACGAGATTAGAGCTCAGGTCGCTGCACACATGCATGCACACAAATGCACATACATGCACATACATGCACACACATGCCCACACATGCATACACATGCACATACATAAACATACATGCACACACATGTGCACACGTGCACACAAACACACGCATGAACACATTTATGCACACATGGATGCACACACATGCATACACGCATCCATGCATGCACACACATACACAAATGTAGGCATATGCACATAGAGGCGGAAAGGTAATTAGAAGGCGAGACTCTGGCAAAAGGTAGAGCAGAGAGACAGTGATGGCTGAGTTTGGATCATGACTTTCTCGGACGCATCAGAGAAGCAAGATAGGCATTGGTGAGGGCTGTGAGCTTGGTGATTTCCGTTGAGAGGTTTCCACTCAGCTTCTGATTTGGCAGCACACTGCACAACGAAGCAAACAGAGCGGGAGGGAGAGAAAGAAGAGCGAGAAGAAAGATTAGCTGGGATTCCACTCAATCCAGTGATACATCAACGCTACACCATCAAGCTCCAATGGCAACAAATTGCACACGCTCCACTAAACAGGACAGCAGCATGTGAAAGCACAGCAGCACGCAAAAGCACAGAAGCATGGCCGCACTCACATGCCCACAGCAGCCCCCTTGGAGCTGCAATAGACGCCGGTCCATGCGCCTGGGCCGGGAGTCTGCCCCTCCAATGTGCACGTGCCCAGCGACCCTGTCCAGTTCGTGAGCGTCACCCCCAGTGCAGCTTTGATGGCTAGCATCGTTTGGGCTGGCAAGGCGTGCATGGGAGGTGGGGGGGAATGGGAGAGAGAGTGGCAGTGAGGGAAGCAGAGAAAAAGGTGATGAAAAAGTGGGGGAAGTGGGTCTCCCACATCACGCTAGCTTTTACCCAGGGCCATGCTATACCAAGGGGAAATCTGACAGAAAAGAGGGAGAGATGGAGAGAGAGCAGCAGCAGAGGTGCACGGAAGGAGCAGAGGAGCCCAACACTCACTTGATACCAAGTCCATGGGAACAGCCTCGCAGAAGAGGGTGAGGCTTGCAGAAAGCGCAGTTGGGGGGGACGTCACCCCAGCCCCAGCAGCAGCAACCCGGCAGGTGGTGGCATTGGCACACAGAGCGCCCTGGCCGTTGGTGGAGCCACAGACGGCACATTCAGCGGCGCTGCGCTGTGCCAGTCCCAGTGATGCGCACTTGGACGCGTCCACCAGGCAGTTGCCCGTGCTGGCGCAATAGGCAATGCTGTTGGCCGGCACGGAACCCGCCAGGAAGTTGCTTTGCACGTCCAGAGAGGCGAGCGTGGTGGGGAGTGCGGTGGGGAGTGATCCGGTGAGGTAGTTGAAGGCCACGGAGCTGATGGCAAGGTGGATAGGGGGTAGGCGAAGAGAAGGGTGTTACATGAAAATTCTTGACGTGATGGTAGTACATTCTTCAGCATGTCAGCATGAGCACATGGTGATCATGCTATGGTCGGTCACTCACAGTGTTGAGAGGGTCTTGAGGGTGAGGAGGGCCGAGGGGAAGACGCCATAGAGGTAGTTGTACTGCAGGTAGCTGCATGGGTGCACAGGGGATCGGGGAGTGGGTGGGGGCAGAGGAGGGAAACGGCTGCAAGCAGTGAGCCGATTTTGTATCGACAAAAACACCAAGAACAATAACAGGAACAAGAACACCAAATACAATAACAGGAACAACAGCATCAAGAACACGAACAAGAATGAGAACAACAAGAACAAGAAGAAGAACAAGAAAAGAGAAAGAACAAGGACAAGAACAAGAACAGAGAAAGAACAAGAACAAGAAAAGAGAAAGAACAAGGACAAGAACAAGAAAACAGAAAGAACAAACACAAGAACAAGAACAAGAAGAAGAAAAGAGAAAGAACAAGAACAAGAAAAGAGAAAGAACAAGAACAAGAAAAGAGAAAGAACAAGAACAAGAACAGGAACAAGAAAAGATAAAGAACAAGAACAAGAAAAGAGAAAGAACAAGAACAGGAACAAGAAAAGAGAGAGAACAAGAACAAGAACAAGAAAAGAGAAAGAACAAGAACAAGAACAAGAAAAGAGAAAGAACAAGAACGAGAACAATGACAAGAACAGAGAGAAAAGAAACAAGAACAAGAAAAGAAAAATAACACGAACAAGAACAAGAAAAGAGCAAGAACAAGAACAAGAACAAGAACAAGAACAACAACAAGAACAACAACAAGAACCACGACAATGGCAACCATGACATTGACGGCAATGTTTGGGTTTGCCATTTCCTCATGCCTAGATGGGAGAATGCGAGAATGCTTGAATGAGTGGATTGGGTGGATTGAAGAATGGGTGGGTGAGTGGTTGGGTGGATGGGTGGTTGGATGTGTGGGTGCGGGCAGGCAGGGACTGACAGCTCCTTGAGCACAAGAGGCGACTTGATGTTGGCAGTGAAGGCGTCCATCTTGCCTTCCAGCAGGTTAGACTGCAGGTCACTACGGTGCAAGGGGGAATGGTGCAGGGGGTAGGGGTGGAAAAAAAAAAAAAAAAAAAATCCACATGGACCAATGAAAGGAATTTGGTTGATGTTGACTAGAGGAATGCTGGACGGCTGATAGCAAAGTGTGTAGATCCTGGAAAACCAATAGCAAGTGTCTATGCTGTGGTGTAGCGTGCTTCAACCTTAAATCAGACATATGCCAGGCAGTGGGGGAGGGGACTCGAATTGGAATGACTACTCACAGCACGGTGGGTGTGGTAAGCATGTGTAGTCACTGTTAGAAACACGCTGCCAACACATTTGTGTGCTCTATTTTATATCGTGTAGGTGTTTTGTAGGTTGGGTGTAGATTTGTTATTTCAACCTTATCTGGTTAGGATCCTCTTGTAATCCAACAAATCTGCCAACTCATCATTGGAGATTTGCTTGGATTCCCATCCCATCCTTTTCCTAGCTTTGCTCAACCCAACCTTCCTTGCACTTAAGTGCCTTCTTTCTTAATCAATCAGTTCAACCTCCATTTTGACACTCACACACCGTGAGGGTGGTGAGCATGTGTACTCACAGCACGGTGAGGGTGGTGAGCTTGGAGATCTCCGAGTAGATGCTCCCTGTGAGGCCCTGCCCCTTGAGCGACCTGCATGCCGTGATGCATTGCCGTTCACGTGGGGAAGGCAGCACACACACATTTGGGGGAGCAACACATAAAGGTGGAATAGTGTGAGCTTGGAGGTGTGGAATAAAGGTGGTAGCACACGTGGAGGACACCCACACAAGAAGCAGGAATAGTGTGTATTAAACCGAATGCAGAATGCGCAAGGCAAGCAGTGGCTGAATGTTTGGCACGGGTAAGATGGGTGGGGAGGAGGCAGCAGAGCATGCAAGATGCTTTCAGCCAGTCTTGGTCGACAACACACACAACAACTACACTCGGAAGTAGACAGGGAACACTCACACTCGGAGACCTTTCCCGGAATCGTCACAGGCGACGCCATTCCACGTGCCGGGAGCCGGGGAGGGCGAGCCCTCGAGGGTGCAGAGGGCATCGACCCGCCAGTCTGGAAACGACACTCCCAGCGCCACCTTCACATTCATCAGCGCAGCGGCTTGAGTCGCATCCATGGGCACACTTGCAGCAGAGGTGCAGACCAAAGGGAGCACG